GCTCTGGGCGGCTGGGGGAGGCTGTGTAGGACCACGAGGGGTAGCGGTGGCGCCTGTCTCTGCAAGAATCCCAGTCATTTTGGTAAGGAGTCTGGAGAATCCAGTTTGCGATTTTGAAATTCAAGATGGGGTCTTTACAGTGTTTCTTGGAAGGCTCCCCTCCGCCCCCGAGCCTGTGTTAATCGCCAAGGGTGGGAGTTCTTCTTCTTCTGCCCTGTGGACCAGCAGACCCTGCCGGCTCGGAAGAGGCCGCCTGGAGCCCCAGCTCATCCAAATCTGAGTCTCAAAATACGGCAACTGGCATGCCACCGTGTGGCAGGCAGGACGTGGGCGTGAGCAGCCCCAGACCCACCAGTCCTGGCTGAACTTCAGCCCTAAGCTCGTGCATCGTTTCATTCCCCTCCCCACACCCAGGGTGAAGGCCCAGCCTCCTCTGGGGCTCCAGCCTGGCCTGCTGTGGGTCTGGGTTGCTCCCTGTCCCCCTCTTCCTTTCCTGCTGCTGCAGGGACATCTCAAGTCCGCCCCACCCCAGGGCCTTTGCTCCTGCAGGTCCCTTAGGTTCACTTCCTCACAGCCTCGAGGTCTTTGCTCCAGCACCGTTTCCCCAAAGGTGCCCACTCTCGGCAGGTGGCTCTCTCACCTGCTCCACTGTTTCCCGGTGGTACTGGTTTACCCGAGGTTACGTGTGTTCCTGCACGGTGGACTCGAAGCCCCGTGTGTGCATTTTCCCCCTCATCCCCACATCCTGCTCCCGTGCCTGGCACCCAGCAGGTGCTCAGAAGTGACTTGCTGAGCGAAGGTGTGTGCACTGAAACAGCTGGAAACCCTCCCCCGCTGTGCTGTGCGTGCAGGCTGAGAGCTGAGGCACTGGAGATGGGGCGACAGGGAGACTGTAAGAGGAGAGATTTGCTAGTGGTCTGATAGTTGTCAAAACAGTAACCTCTCATTTTCCATTCACAATCTAGTTTTGTGCGTCTTTCTTCTAGCCTAAGAAAAGTGCTTTATGAGAGGATTAAAGCGCTGTTGGCAGCATTCTCCCTGTTCTTTTGGGAGACTACGATCTTATTTCAGTGCTGGGGCTCACCTGCTCGCTGCCTGTACCCGGTCAGTCCGTGGTAGCAGCTGGCAGCATTGGCTGTGAGGGCTCTGGAAACAACACGGACAACCTGGCTCGATGCCCCCTGGGCTACTGGGAACGATGACGCGACTGCGTGTCACTGCTCTGATGGCCACTTTTGTCGAGACTCACGAGTGGAGGCGCTTTCTGTTGTGGCGGGAGTGGGGGACAGTCTGGCACCCTGGCTTGTGACGGGAGCTGAGATGGCATGAGCTTCCTGGGGGCACGGCTGGGGCACCTTCCTGCGTGAGGCTCATTCCCACCCGCCCGCCTTCCACGGTCATCTGCTTTGAGGGGAATGGGAACAAAGGCTGCTAAGACAGTCACGGCCTAAGTCTGTGTGGGTAACTGTGGGCGGAGCCTAGTGAGGCCGGGGGCCTCAGCACAGAGGGCAGCGCCACCAGGCCACGCCCAGTCCACCCTGGCAATCTCTGCACACTAACAGGTGTTTCTGCCCCTAGCTCTGGCAACGGGAACTTGTTTGCGTGTTGATTTAGAGTACTTTTTACTCTTCTATTGGAGAAAGAGAGAGAGAGATAGAGCGCACAAGAGAGAGCAAGCTCTCATTTGCTGGTTCACTCCCCAAGTACCCTTATCAGCCAGGACTGGGGTGGGTTAAAGCCAGGAGCATGGAACACTCCTAAATGGGGGCAGGGGCCCAGTTACTTGAGCCATCACCTGCCGTCTGCCAGGGTCTGCACTGGCAGACAGCAAGAGCCAGGTATTGGGCCCAGGCACTGCGATATGGGATGCAGACCTCTTCACTGGTAGGCCCAACGCCTGTCCTGGACCTGGGGTGCCTCGTACCCGCTGTGTGACCGCAGCAATGGGTCATCCTTCTCAGATCTGAGGGTCTCATTCATTCACTCATTCGTCAGACATATTTTCAAGGGTGGCCCGTGATATGCAGGGGGATGCAGGGTCTGAGGACATGTTGGATTGCAAGATCACCCTGCCCAGATGGAAGACAAATCCTTTCCCTTAGCTGTGAATGCACACAGTTCGTCACCCTTGGGTAATGCTTTGTGGCTCTCTAAAGACGGCAATGACAAATTGAACATAGCAAGTCTCGTTGTTTGTACAAACAGGAGCCAAGAGGTTGTTGGGGTGCCTGAACCGCAAGAGCCATTCTGGAAATTTCTCTCCGTTACTAGACTATGGTTAGGCTAAACCATCTGAAGTTACCTATATTTGCAAGTTTTCCCTATACAAAAACTGCAAGCATTTTAAATACGTCCTCTGTTGCCAAACCTTTACCAGGATGGCTCAGAAAGCACAAAACTCAGACTGTGTCCTCGGAGCCCTCCACTCTGATGAGAACAGCAGGCGAGGAAGGCCTGGGGCTGACACCACCCAGGGAGACCGCTCTCTTCCACGCTCCTTGTCACCTGGGGGGCTGTCATGGCGCTGTCTCCTCACAGGGGCAAACACATCACTGCAGAGGCTGGGGACACAGGTGTTGGTCCCAGCACCTCCAAGTGGATGGGCAGCAGTTTATCTTTCTTGGCTCTATTTTTTTTGGGGGGGGGGGAATAGTCATATTGGGGATTAAAGAAAAGTTGCTGCCTTGGATACGTGAATTCAAGAGTAGCATGGCGTGCTCCGATGGAGGCCAACAGGAGAGGCACCCCCAGAGCTGGGGCTGTCTGGAGCTTTTGTTTCCTAATTGATCTAATGTGCTAAGTGAGTTTAATGCAAGTTAATTAATCATGCTATTGGTGGGTGGAATTACCTAGGCAGAGCCTCGAACAGCATCAAAGGAAGGAGCGGGCAGGTGCTGTCTGGGATAATTGAGGAAGCAAGGGCCTGGAGTAAGGCACCCGTGGGATGTGCAGGCAGGCGGCGGGCAGGCCGGGAGGAGGCGAGGCGAGCCGAGCCACTTAAGCAGCGAGGCTGACTGCCAACACGCCATCCTGTTACAGCGCCTGTGTTTGAAATTCAGATTTGCTGGAGTCTTTGAAGCTGGGTCCCTGGGCACTTCCTTGAGCACGAATCTCATTCTTTGGAAACCACAAAACTCCCTCACCTGGACCCAGGGAGGAGACGCAAGTTCTCTGGGACCCGAGAGCTTTTGAGTAGAAGACACTCCTGCGTTACAAGAGTCAACTTGGTTTGCATCCTGAGAAACGGGAATGGGGCCTAGGTCTGTCTTAAGCCTGCACCCCCAACACATATCCACTCCCCATGCCCACCCCCACACAGGGGATGTGCTAGGCACAGGGACACACAGTGACTGATGCCTGAGAAACAAGAGAGCCCCTTGCCCCCCTGCTTTGCAGATATAGATGCGCCTTCACTGACGATGGGGTGATTTCCCGCCGTTAAGTTGAAAATCAACTTAAAAAAATCACATATCCTAGCACGGCAGCTCAGCGCGCTCAGAGCGTCACTTGTTTCCCTGGTGACCGCAGCCGCTGCCACCGCCCAGCATCCCCAGAGAAGAGGGGACCACAAAGCACTAGCCCGGCAAAACGCCACACTCAGCGTGCCACGTGCAGTTTCTACCGATCGCACGTTGTTTTTGTACTTGCATAGAGGCAGCCATCAGACACCAGGGCCATCTACATGTATCTTCAACAACACAAACCTCTCCTCTACAACACTGAAAACCAGAGAGCGGACAGACAGCAAAAGCCCAACCTTCCAGAGAGATTCTGTGTACTTCTCCCCAGAGACAGCCCAGCTCGGCGCCCATGGGGAGGGAGGGGCACAGCAGAGACTGCCAGTCTTGCCCAGCAGTGGGGTGCCCACGGGGCGGTGTGCGGGATGGAGGCTCGTGCCCCAGCCCTGCTGGGCCACCTTCTTTTTTGATGGACCCTGTTGAAACGTATTCTCAAGGCTTCAAGCGCGGTGACTTAGGAACCCAGAGCAGCAAGCCGGACGGGAGAGAGGCGGTGTCTCTCTCAGAGCTTTGAAGTGACTCCCTTTCCCCTTTAGCCCACCAGGACTTTTGCCTCTAGGACAGCCGGAACGAGCTGCAGTTGCACCGTTGGTTGGAAAGTGTCTCAGACGCTACCGGGTGGCCTCCAGCTGGCCAGCTGGGGAGGAGGGGCTGGCCCTCTCTGCGGCTTGTCTTGGCTGCCCACGTGCGTGCGTCCTACTCTTGTGCCAGAGCGCCCTTGTGCCCTGCTAATGCGTCCTGCTCTCCACGTGCACCGAGCTGCCTCTCTCTTGCTGCGGCACAGCACGGCAGGCAGCAGGTCAGAACCTCAGCTCTGTTTTCCCTGCCCTCAGCCGGGTGCTAGGCAATCAGAGCCGGCTCTTGTGTCTGAGCCTGGGTCAGGGTTAGGGTTAGGGTTAGGAATTGCTCTAGGGTCAGGCGTGGAGCGGGGCCTCTAGGCTGGAAATGAAAACCGCAGCCCGTACGCACTCCCGACTGCGCGCCTCTCCCCAACACAAAGCCGTGGCTTCTGCTCTCAGACTCGCTTGAACCCCCACCTGGAAGTCTCGGGGCACGGAGGGCACTAGGGGAGGCAGGTACTGAGTCTGGCTAAAATCCCAGCTACTACTTGCCTCCCCTAGCCAACCAGGCTCAGGGACAAGCTCCAAAAAACACACTTCCCTGCTCCCTGGAGGCGGCCCCTGTTTCAACAGCCCAGGTCCCGAAGCCTGCAAAGCACACATGGAGTCTGGCTCACTACTCCAGTGTGCAACCAACAGCAAAGTGGGGTTTCTTCTGTTTTCCCCGAAAACAAAGGAACAATCTCAGGTCTCAGAACTGGTAGTGCAGACCTACAGTAATTGGGGAAGCTTGTTCCAACGCAACTCAAAAATGACATGCATCTCAAAAATGCACTAAAGCTCTTTCTTCCCCGGCCTGTGACACCTCGGTCTCTGCCACAGCACGAGTTAAGAGAATCAAAAGGAAAGGACCAAGGCTTACCTGGCTCCCGCGCGAAAGCAGCTTCTGGTCTCCAAGGGAGGTGGGTTCGCGGTGGGGCGGCCAGGTGCACCGGCGGCCACTGGCAGCGCTCTCAGAAGCCGGCGCGCACGTCCTCGAGAGCGGCAGGGGTCCTGAGGACCGGGCACACCCCTCTGCAGTCAGCACCAGTAGCTTTCTGTTTCGAAGGGCTCCCAGGAACTTTGCTGCACTCCTCTGGAGTTTACCGACTTGGTCCTTGCTGGGGGCTTTCCTCGCTGCAGACTCACCTGCACCACCTAGAGGCCGCTTCCGGCACTGCGGACGCGGGAGCCCGGGCACCACTGCCCGCCGCCGCGCTCGTCGACACCTCGCTCTTGTCGACTTCCTTCCACGAACGTCTGGAATGTGTGAAAGTCGTTGATACTTTTTGAAGGGCAGCGGTCTTGCTTCTCTCTGAACAACCAGACCCTTTGGGCACCTGAGAGCTGAAAAAGCTAAATTGCATTAAAATGTCATTAATCAAAACTTGTTAGCTAAAGAATCCCTCCCCCCTCCCCCCCAACACACAACTGAGATGGCTCCAGGTACAGGCACAGGTGCACTGATTCGGCTCGGAACATGTTTGTGCACATTTCCACCCAGTCCCCTGCACGTCACCCGCAGGCTGAGTCGCCAGCCCTGCCTTTCCTCCTGCAGCCCCCGGCACACACCACTGCCACTCAGCCTGGGTACCCCCAGGGAACTGCAGGTAGCATACACACCCCATGTAACTCCAGATAAGTCCTCACATCCCATATAGCCACAGAGGGCTACATATACCCCACACTACCAGACAGTCAGGAAGCTGCTGGAAACACAGACATCGTGACAGCACTTACATTTTGGTAGTGGCTAACTCCTTCTCAGATATTAAATGATGGCCGGCTCCGCGGCTCACTAGGCTAATCCTCCGCCTTGCGGTGCTGTCACACAGGGTTCTAGTCCCAGTCGGGACGCTGGATTCAGTCCCGGTTGCCCCTCTTCCAGGCCAGCTCTCTGCTGTGGCCAGGGAGTGCAGTGGAGGATGGCCCAAGTCCTTGGGCCCTGCACCCCATGGGAGACCAGGAGAAGCACCTGGCTCCTGCCTTCGGATCAGCGTGGTGCGCTGGCCACGGCGGCCATTGGAGGGTGAACCAACGGCAAAGGAAGACCTTTCTCTCTGTCTCTCTCTCTCACTGTCCACTCTGCCTGTCAAAAAAAAAAAAAAGTATTAAATGATTAGGGAAAGAGCCTGGTCCTAGAAGAATGTAATTCTGCTATTTCTCTCCCTCAATCCCACCACACAGGTATGGGAGCTGAACAGCTCCCCGAGGGCACCTTTCCATGTTCTCCTGGTCCATGTTGTCTCTGGGGACACATGAAGCAAGCAAGCGCTTGGGAGAAGAACAGAGGCAACGGTGAGTGGGTCTGGAGGAAGATCCAGGACACAGGGGCTGAATCTGCCTGCAGAGAGAAGCAGCCCCATCTTCACCAGTGTGGACAGCTAATCCAGGTGACATGGATTCCCCGGTGAGAGCTTCAACTTGAGTTCCCAAGGTTGGCTCTCTGCACTGCACATGCTGTGCCCAAGCTGGGGGTGTGTCATAATGACCGCCACCAACGTGATTCACCTAGGACCCTGGAAAAATGAACAGGCAGCACTCTGGGCTCATCTTCCTGTTGCATATACTACTACTTCTTCTTCTTCTTCTTCTTCTTCTTCTTCTTCTTCTTCTTCTTCTTCTTCTTCTTCTTCTTCTTCTTCTTTTTTTACAGGCAGAGTGGATGTGAGAGAGAGACAGAGAGAAAGGTCTTCCTTTGCTGTTGGTTCACCCTCCAATGGCCGCCGCTGCCGGCGCTGCGCCTATCCGAAGGCAGGAGCCAGGTGCTTCTCTTGGTCTCCCATGGGGTGTAGGGCCCAAGCACTTGGGCCATCCTCCACTGCACTCCCAGGCCACAGCAGAGAGCTGGCCTGGAAGAGGGGCAACCGGGACAGAATCCGGCGCCCCTACCAGGACTAGAATCCAGTGTGCCGGCGCCACTAGGCGGAGGATTAGCTTAGTGAGCCATGTGGCCTTGCATATACTTCTGACTTATGTTTGAGGATGGAGATGATTCTGGATTTCTTTTTGTACTGGAAATTAAATGATGATTTTTAAATTGATTGTTGGCATTGCCAAAAGATTAGAGGAAAAGATAGGACAGGTATTAGACTTGTTTATGTGCTCCCTTTGACTCTTAGTCCTTTCATTATGATCAATTGTGAACTGAAATTGATCACTTGGAGTAGTGAGATGGCATTGGTACATGCCACCTTGATGGGATTGAATTGGAATCCCCTGGTATGTTTCTAACTCTACCATTTGGGGCAAGTCAGCTTGAGCATGTCCCAAATTATACATCTCTTCCTTCTCTTATTCCCACTCTTATGTTTAACAGGGATCACATTTCAGTTAATTTTCAACACTTAAGAATAACTGTGTATTAATTACAGAATTAAACCAGTCATATTAAGTAGAACAGACAAAAAAACTACTAAGAGGGATAATATATTAAGTTGTTCATTAACAGTCAGGGCTATGCTGATCAAGTCACCGTTTCCCATAGTGTCCATTTGTACCTGCTAACACTAACCGATAGAATAAATAAAGGGGAGAGTGATCCAACATGGGAAGTGAGATACTCAGCAGACTCATAGAATGGCAGATGTCCTAAATAGCACTCTGGCCTCAGAATCAGCCCTAAAGGCATTCGGATCTGGCTGAAAAGCCCATGAGAGTATTTCAGGCATGGAAAGCCAAGATACTCTGGCAAAAGATCTCTGTGAGGGAGATCCCAGTGGAAAGAACAGGTCATCAAAGAAGGAGGTACCTTTCTCTGAAGGGAGGAGAGAACCTCCACTTTGACTATGACCTTGTCTAAACAAGATAAGAGTCGGAGAACTCAGAGGGCTTCCATAGCCTTGGAAACTCATGACTGGAGCATAGGGAGATTACTGATGCCATAGACAAGAGTGTCAATTGGTAAAGTCAACAACAGGAGTCACTGTGCACTTACTCCTCATGTAGGATCTCTGTCCTTAGTGTGCTGTGCATTGAGATTTAATGCTATAACGAGTACTCAAACAATATATTTCACTTTGTGTTTCTATGGGGGTGCAAACTGTTGAAATCTTTACTTAATGCATACTAAACTGATCTTCTGTAAAAAAAAAAAAGAAATTATCAATTCCCAACTTGACTCTCACTGGGATTAAACATGACAATAGGTCTGCTCTGATTTCATCATCATTTAAAAAAAATCATCTATTATTTTTCACTTTATGTTTCTGTGTGGGAGCAAACTGTTGAAATCCTTACTTAAGGTATACTAAGCTGATCTTCTGTATATTAAGATAATCGAAAATGAATCTTGATGTGAATGGAAGGGGAGAGGGAGTGGGAAAGGGGAGGGTAGTGGGTGGGAGGGACGGTATTGGGGGGGAAGCCATTGTAATCCATGAGTCGTACTTTGGAAATTTATATTCATTAAATAAAAGTTAAAAAAAATAAATAAATCATAAAAAAAAGATAGGACAAAAAATTAGAATGGGCACACAATATGGATGCAGTAAAGAAGCCCCCTCTTGGAAAAATCCGGAACGTCATGGCATTGGGCAAAGTTAGAGATGGTTATAGTTGAAGTTTTCGGAGTCATCACATCCAGACAAAAATGAGTATACAAAGTAAGTGAGTTGATGAAGACAAGGACTGACGGGACGATTGGTCCTCATCTTCAGGGCTTTGACAATGCATGGCTTTCTGTTGTGCACATTTCCAGAAGACTGAGGCAGAAATAGCAGAAGGTTATCAGTAGCATATTTTAATAAGCACATGAGCCAAGATTGCAGAACATGGTTGAGTGGATGGGGTCTCTCTTGGGGCTGTGCAGAATGAAGTGTAATTTAGAACACGTGCTCGCTGTTTGTAACTCGGCCCGGGCAGACCTGCTGTCCTTCTCCCTGAGTCTGCACAATGCATGGCTAGCCAGGAACCCTGCAGGGGGACATTCTGGAGGAGGCAGGCCCCGGCCCTCAGCTCTGCTGAGCCACGACTTTGCAGGTGATTGTAGATAGTCAGTGATTCCCATGCCTGTCGAGAACGCGCATGGTTTTGCAGAAGTTTCCAGTGAGTCAGACGGAACCACTTTCTGGGCATCATTATTACAAGCTGTGTATTAGTTACTAATCTCATGCTGAGCGAGCAGGGGGAACACCCTTGATACTCACATTCCACCAAAACAGCATCCTTCCACGCTACTGCCTGTGTTCGTTGACTCATTCAGCAAATGTGTACCTCCATGCCCAGCTACTACAGGGTTCCAGGCTCCGGCACATATCACAACAAGGGCGACAGTCAAAATTCTTGGCCTCGAGGTGGACATTTGGCCTAGTAATGTGCCAGTTAAGATGCTTTTATCTCGGGGCTGCACTGTGGTGCAATGCATTAAGCTGCCACCTGCAGTGCCTTCCTTCCATGCAGGTGCCAGTTGGAGTCCTGGCTGCTCCACTTCTGATCCAGCTCTCTGCTATGGCCTGGGAAAGCATAGAAGATGGCCCAAGTCCTTGGACCCCTGCACTCACATGGGAGATCTGGATGAGTCTCCTGGCTTCTGGCTTTGGATCGGCCCAGCTCCAGCCTTTGCAGCCATTTGGGGAATGAACCAGTGGATGGAAGATCTCTCTCTCTCTCTCTCTCTCTGCCTCTGCCTCTTTGTAACTCTGCCTTTCAAGTAAATATCTCTTTAAAACAAACAAAAAAGGTGCTTGTATCTCACACTGGGGTGCCTGGGGTGAAGCCTGCCTCCTAACTTCAGCTTCCTGTAAATGAGGGCCCTGAGGGACAGTGTCAATGGCTCAAGTAATTGGGTTCCTGCCACCCACGTGGAAGACCTGGGTTGCACTGCTACTGGCTATGACTCTAGTCCTGGCCATTGGTGGGCACTTGGAGAGTCAGTGGATGGGTGCTTTCTCTCTGTCTCTCAAATAAATAAGAATTTTCAGGAAGAGTGAAATTAAAAACGTTTTAAACAAATCTCTGGCCTCAAGATACATGTACTCTGTTTGGGGGAGGCAGAGAGTAAGCAATCTATCAAATAAACATGAAATATACTTTCTGGCAGTAGTAAGCAGCTTGGAGGGTAGGGTGCATGTGTGTGTGTGTGTGTGTGTGTGTGTGTATTATCGTCTGCTAGTGACACTTTTCTGCTTGTATAACTATCTGAAAAAGTGGATCAGATCATATACAGATGATCCTTGACTCACAATGCATTTTGTCCTGATAAATCTATTACAAATTGAAAATACCATGAATTGAAAGTGTATTTAATACTCCCAACCGGGGTTGGTGCTGTGGCATAGCGCATAAACCCGCTGCCTGCAGTGCTGGCATCACATATGGGTGCTGGCTCGAGACC